TTGGTTAGATTTGGCCATAGAATTCGAAAATTCTCAGGAAAAAAGCAACAGAAGCATTTCTGCGCTCTAGTTCTGAATAAATGATAACATTCTACACAATCCTTATTACTCAAACTATATGAGAAGAACATATTCGTCAAAATCAGTCCTTTAACTTTTTGCTACTATTGTACGTATTAAACATCCTTAATAAATAATTTATGAAAGTTAATAAACAATTATCTTAATCCATATTGTTTGTAAAACATATATATATATATAAATAACGCTACTTTCTATTTTTAGAAAGCAGTAATGAAAATACCTGCTTTAGCCAAGGAAATAGAATTTGCAGATGTTAATAATTTCTCAGAGAGGTAAAATAAATTTATTTCTGAAGTTTAACATGATATGAAAACTATTTATAATTATAATGAACATGATAAAACTATTCATGCTTTTCATTTTAATTGTATATTTATTGTAGATTTCTTAAAGCGGCATCTGTAATAAAGAAAAATTTATCTCTTTTTCAATCTGTTTGTGACCATGTAGATACAATTACCACTATTATTGAATACTTAAGTGATATTGGTGCAAAGTTAAAACTTGACAAACACGGTAATATCTTCGTAATCACAATTGAAAAAAATATTCTATTATTGTGTTTTGTGCAAATTTTATTTTGTTTGAGAATAATAGCATTTAAAAACAGTGGACTAATTGTTTATATCATGTTTTAAAAACTTTATTTTTTTTTTAGATGAATACGAGAAAGATGACATAGTCTTGTTAGTAATATTTACACTGCTGAACATATATGATATACATAAAGAACATGTAATACAGCTGTTTTTGGAAAATGCCATCATGTAAATGTTGAAGAACTTTTAATTACTCTTTAATGTATATTCTTGAATACCTCTTATATCTGAATCTTAACTTATTTGTTACTTATAATTCCTATATTCAAATTATATTATCATGAATTTTAGAAATAAATTTTTTACATTTTAGCAAAAAATCTGTACTGGATAAATCGTTACAATATATAGATTTGTTAAGTGGAGTTATAACAAGTAAGAAAAATATAGATATTAGTAATGTAATAGAAATTTATTGTTCTTGTAGAAATCCTAATTTTTAATCTTGCACAATCCTAATTTTAAATATTTTGTACAGATCATATAAATATATATATATATATTGTTTGTACAGATCACACCAATGAAATAATACTTCTAGCGGATTCAGATTTGTATGCGGTTATTAGTTACTTAAGGAATAAAAAATATATTTCGTCGTCTTTAAATAAAATTTGGGTTCAAGAACCAATAAGAGAAAAATATTTATGGCTCATGAAGGAATATCTGAAAGATTCAATTAATTATCCCATTCGTATATTTCGAACAAAGAATGAATTATTTACACCAGCTAGTACATCTTATAAAATGAACAGTATATCCATATGGACAGAAGATATTGTATTTGCTAAAAACTTAGCAATGTCTTTAAATGTACAATATTTTAATTATATAACATAATTTGTTTGGATAATTTTTTTAACTACTACTAATTTTATTTCTGTTTTTGTCTATTTAGAGAGATGTTGTGTTTATAAATTCATACATGGACTTCTACGGTGATATTGTACTTTTGCCATATACAAAAGTATTTGACAAAATGTTACATAAACAGTGCAACTTTACTCTCGACAATTGTAGAAAAACATTGAGTGTGGACAGTAAACATCCAGTTTTCAATTTATTTTATGATGGTATATGGCAACAGCCTGTAAAAGGTACATATTGGATACATAATAATTGTCAGATGGCAAACGCAACAAGGTAACAAATGCATATTTTCTTTATCTTAGTAATAAATGTCAAATTTGTTTGTATATCTGAAGTTTTTTATTCACGTTATTGTAGTGAAGATGTTAATAGATGCATTAAGTCAGCCGAAAAAGGATTCAAAATTTGGAGTACTAAGTCTGTCACTTGTAGAACGCAAATTTTATCTAAATTTGCATCTATATTAGAATGCAACGGGTATGTATTGTATATTAAGTTATTAAAAGATATTTTTTAATTTTATCTTAGGCCTATATTCAGAATATACTTTTATCGATAATGAACGCTTTTAAGCACATAACTTACATATACTTAATTTTAATAATTATGCATAAAAACGCGTTCTGAATACAGGCTCGAGTTTATATTACTGCATTTTTTCAATCGTTCTCAATCACAATTTTTTAACGATTGGTATTCTTTTGTTCTTTTTTTAGTAAATCTGATTTGGCAACTTCAATGTCAACATGGATAAAAATGTATAAATATGAAAATTTTTCATTCTGCTCACGAAGTGAAGAATTAGAAGTAACGAAAATTCCTAATCCAAAGGGCGTTATCATTTTGAAAGAGGAACATGAAATTCCTTTATTTACTCGAATGATACAAATTTTAACTGCTGGCAATTCTGTTATTGTGATAAACAATACAAATTCCTGTAATCTAACATCATATTGTAACATATTTTCGGCAGCTGCGATACCTCCAGGTGTTATAAATTTGTTGTCAAATGAGAATATGCAAGAGTTAGAATTAGCTTTATGTGGAACGGATTATGCAAGCTATGCAAAACAATTTGTTCCAATAAGTCAGCCGAGGAATCAAGAAAAAATGTTCATGAACTTTACCACACCCAAGCATATTATACTTCCTCTTAAATAGTTGTAATATATGATATCTAATGTTTGTGACAAAAGTATACATATAAACATTATATGTACAAATTTATTTCCAAAGTTTTATTTTACAATTTCCATCAATTCTTTAAAATATAAAGCTGATGATTGATTGAAGATTACAAAAAAGTTTATTCGATTTTATAATCAAATCTCTGTTGAAAAGATATTGTAAAATGCTATAAATTTTGTCGAAAGAATCACCAGAATTTAATGGGATACAACAATAGATTGGCGCTAAAAACCGAGAAAAATCTCGTAAATAGATGAATTTAGAAAGTATCAGTTGCTAACAAACGGTTAGAAATTACCTCTTATAAAGCAGTTTTCAGTTTATTTTTTCGTTATATTTCGAGATATAAAAAAATGTTTTATATAAGTTTTACAGTAAAATTATTTCTATTTGTTTACGTTAATATTTGTTAAAAATAATAATTTAAAAAAAATGTTCAAAATTTTTTAAAAATATTAACGTAGAGGTCATTTTACTGTAACACTTTTTTTATATAAAACATTTTTTGACATCTTGAATAGTTTTCAAAAATATATACGAAAAAAACTGAAAATTACATATAAGGGTTATAATATGATTTCACCTCTTCAAACCGTTTTTTAGCATAAAGATATTTTTTAAATTCATCTATTTACGTAACCTAAGTATACATACAAAGTTTCATTAAAATCAGAATTTAACTCTGCGAGGTTCTTTTGTTAGTTTATATCATCAGTCCATTGTTAGACTATCTACTGAAACATCTAATCGAATTTACTGAAATATCTAATTTAATCTATTACTAATCTGCTGATATAACATTAATATTTTACAATTTACACATTAGATTTAGAGAATACATTCTTTATTTTCATTCTCAATCTACAGGTATGCAGAAATTTATAAAATTATTTGCAATATTTTTATCATAAAAATAATTTACATTTTCAGTAGCAAACTATTCATACTGCTAAAATAAGCTTATAATGTATTGTATTTCAATATAATTAAAAAAAATATTTTTTTTATATATTATCATCTAATCTAAAGCTCTTTCATGGATTGTACTATACATTTCATTAGTAACTGGTATAACATAGTGGAATAACTTGCAGTACAATGAGACCTTCAAAAAGATATAATGGAATAACTTGAATTATATGAGGCCTTCAAAAGATAAATTTATAAAAGTCAATTTTTGTAAGTAAATATATATATATATATATATATATATAGCTTTCGTTCTTTGTACTTTGTACTAAAAGATCACTTCATACATAAAAGATGCAATTAAATTTAAGAATAAATAATCTATAGTTTTTCATATATGTATGTATAAATGAAACGTATATATTCAAATATATGTATGTGTATATATACGTAATGTATATAAATATATATGTACTTTAAATAATATGATTTAAAATATATAAAAGTCTGTGTCTGTGAATCAACTTAAACATATATCACAATTAATATAAGGAATGTATTGATTGAGAAAACCACTCATGGTTTATACTTTGACTAAAATATCTCTCGATGTAATTATTAATTTCTAATCAAAACTCAATCATTAAACTGTGCGTGACTGAATAATTAAATGTTTTCACATGTGCCAATCTGTTTTTATGTTGCATATTGCATGATCATTTATAATAACGTTTGACACTACCCGTTTCTTTCCTGGACAACCTGCCATCTTCCATCTGGACGAAACAAAGTTTCAATCTTACAAAATTTCTGCTTACAAAAACTTTCGATATTTATAACTATGGCTTCATAGTTTGTGGATAGAATCCAAAATTATATCTAAGTTGTTCGAGAAATACAAATGTGAGAATGGTTTGCGGTGCTAATCGAATAAATGCAGGTACGTAGCCCTAAAAATAGAAACAATTTTTATTGAGTGATACGATCTTCACGTAATTTTACGACCAAAATAATTTATTGATATTAAGGCTCTCGTTTTAATCATACTTACTTTAAAGAAAGCCAGTGGCCCAAGTTTGGCAGTATATAGAAAGATTTCTATAAGGTTCTATGCAAAAAATAATAGTCGTAAATTGAGTATACGTTTCAATTCATTCCACTTAGATCTACTTACTTTAAATTCTCCAGGTTTAGCATTCATTGCTCGTGTCTTTAGAACGTCTAAAGGTTGCGTAAGCGTTGTGGCAATGGCGCCCTATCAACAAAAAGAATATAAAACGTTATCTCTCCTCCGAATACAGCACGTGGACTTGGAATGACGGGTCTTTCAATATTTATAGACACTCACTGCCGATACACTGGATAAAACATGTGTCGAAGGATTATCCCGAAAGTAGCCAGTCTGTAGCAACGTCGTTTTAATCTGGTCGTAAAAACTCAATTGTCCGATAGTCATCAGCGCTGCCCTCATGGTCGCAGTCGAACATCCACTGAACAATTGGCGAACCCCTTCTTGTTGGATTACACGCAACAGTCCATCCAGAGCATGCTTATAGCTACGTGATAAAGGAGTATATTAATAAGACTGGCGAAGTACAATGAGCAAATAATAAGGGCGTCAATTCCTACTTTCTCCTTAGTTCTGGTGCTACTTTGATATCATTCTGCATGCGTACATTAATCACATCACTAGGAGTTCCGAAGACGCCGCCTGTAGCGCCGGAAACTCCTGCCAGCAGTAGCTTCTGATAAAAAGGTAATGGATGACCAGACGATTCGAGTGTCTGTTTGCCGACCTGTTATTTCAACAACATGACCTATATATAATAAATTGAGAAAAAAAACAATTTATATATATATAGATAGCGCATACACAGGATTCGCATGTACCGACCTCGTATGCTCCAAATCTTATAGTAGAATACGTAAGTTGGCGAAGTAGGGAAGCACTAAGTCCATTGTATAAAGCTAATATTCCCTGTTTCCTAATTATTCCAACGGTGGAATGTACCATTGATAGCTTGCCCTCTTGTTGCGTTTGTAAGTGGACCTAGAAGAAAGATCATTCAGTTTAATTAATTTGTAAATTTCTTTATGTATTTACATACAAAAAGACTTACTCTTTATTAGTGATTTGAAACAATTTCTGAGTATAAAATGTTCGAACTAATTGATAAATGTAAAATACCTTTTTACCAATTTTATTAACGAATTAATGAGAAAGTACTGATTTAAGGAGGATGTAAATAAGACCTTCAGTAGATCCAAAGGATGGGTTACGCATGCAGCAGCTGCGGAAGAGATGCCACCAAAATACCAGCGTGATAATTTTTTACTCTTGTCAGTCATTGTCCTATTCATTTTTTTTTCCTTATATCAAGCAACAATTAGGAACATATTTATGGCACGAACGTTGACACTGGTACTACAAACAGAAAAATTGAAATTAAAACATATATTGATTTATTTAAAGAGTATATAATTAATTTGTCTTACCAATAAATTAATGTATGTCAACCAAACGGAATGTTAATATATATTAGTCATTCAGTCATGTGGAAATGACAACTGCCATTTTGATGTTGAAATTAGTTTGCGGGAAAAAAGAGGCTAAAAAATTATCATATCAGAGTTGAGATAACTGTTATAAGAGATAAAAAGATATGCATGTGTATTTTGCGCAAATAGATGAAAATTAATATGAGTTTCTTTACACAGTATGTATATCGTGTAGCAAATTATATTAAACATTTCGCAGAAATTTCTGCCCTTTTTTATAAACATTAAAAAAAATTGAATTGGAACGTCACGAGATTCGCGACATTTTATGATTCCTTACACAAACATAAGTCGGAAATTCTTGCTAAACAAGCTACTCAAGCGCGCTAAAATTAAAACCAAATAAAACCACGACAAGGCGATCTTACGATAACGGCGATTCTAATCGCATGGTTTGCTCGTATTTTTTAGAGAAGTCTCGAGCAAGAAGCATGATGGTCAGTTGCTCCGTTTGCACGAGTGCCACTTCCCGTCGCTATCGACTGAATCTTTGTATAACAAAAATGTATGCAAGACAAAAGCTCGAGGTCATCATTCCGCCGACAATGGGCAATTAACAATCATAATCGATGCAAATTTAAGCATCGATTACACGATGTTGATTAAATTTTAAATCTGCAGGTTGCTGAGCAGAAATGTATATTTGTCTAATTGTTTAAAAGAAAAAATTAATTGCAACAATTTTGCAGTCAGTAATCATTGGAAATAAATTTAAAAAGTCGAGAATTTTGATAGACAAATTTGTTGAAAGCTCTTACAAAGTATCTGCAGGTTACAACAAATTTGGTAGAATACTAGAAATGTAATGAAATTTGCTAGTAGAATATGATGACAGATTGACTACTAGACTAGAAATCGAGAGTAGAATTTGCTACGGTTTTGTAGCTATTTAAATAATTTAGTTTATATTTAAATGATATTCCATTTAAATGATCACGAAAATGGTAGATTCCATTCGGTTCCTGAGGGCAGATCAATTGATCTGTTGGCAGATCTCTCAGTAGATTTCGCTAACGGAATGCGAGAGGCGATTGACGCCAATCTACAGCGATATTCTGCTCAAACTTGTTGGCGAATTACTTGGCGTACCGCCAACATTTTGCCTCCTAGATTCGATTTTATCCTACAGATTCGATGATTAGCGAGTAAAGGCTAATTTTATCGAAAGTTCAGATTTAGATTCGGGTTGAATATTCGTTTCCCTCTCTCTCTCTCTCTCTCTATATATATATATATATATTGTAATACCGGCCGTAATATATTAAAATAGTTTCACACAACCATTCGAAATCAATTGTTTTTTTTTGTTCAAACTTGTTCTAAAAAAGCGAAATTAATTTAACGTACTATTTTTCACTTAAACATGTCATTAAACTGGAAATTGAAGTCAGATATTTTGATTATTAGTCGATTGCTTTCAGCTAATGAAATTTCTGAGTAAAATAATTGGAAATAACGCTAAGTACTCACAAGCCAGCTAGTACTCGGAAGCAGTGATGAGACAAAAAACCGCTCTGATCCAATCCAGTCGCCAGCTGGATTCCGACTGATGTAATAGATATAAAACGTTCCGAAGGAATGGAAGGGAGACAGTGATTGCTGCGAAATGACGTGCCGCAGGCGCACGACGCGTATCAGCTGACAACCACGTGTAATAGTACCATCTTTGTCATACAATAGCCGGCTGTATCCTTATCCTCAATAGAACAGATGTCCAAGGGGAGTGGAGGTGGAACTGAAAAATATGTGAAAATGGCTAGTCGAGCGTGTATATATACACATACGCGCATTACATATAGATAGTTACGCAGTCTTTATCATCGATATTTCCGCTTATCGTCTGGCTTTAACGATAAACAGTTATTTACATATATATACATACATACGACGTCGGTGTATGTACACGGTGAGTTTGATCAGAATTAGCAAATTTGCGATCACATATGGGACATATTCCTTAAAAATAGACTAGATTTGAAGCGAAATTTGTCTATAAGTTTCAGGCTATTATGGTTTTCGAAAATTAATTGGTAAAAATTACAAAAATGAACGAATTTATTAGAATATTTATATTAATATTAATATTTGAATTTGCTCACTTTTGTAATTGTCCAAACCAATTTCCAAGAAGCGTAAAGTCATAATCACATAATTATATACATTATAGCAATTGAAATTGAAATTGGATTGAAATTTGATTAATCAGAAGAAAATAACATAATATAAACATAACATAAACATAATACAAACACGATATAATGACTGCGTTTGGTTTGGCACTTACAGCGCTTATAAGCATCATTTGTCATTTGTTTAACATTTAATAAACACAAGGATGAAATGATCATGTTGTGAGCACTAGAGTCCTAGGGTGCGTTCCGATTTGCGCTTGAAGCGCGTGAAGTGCTCAGAAAATCGTTCCGAATTAGCTATTGCGCGCTTTGAAAGCGCTTCGAGAGCGCTACGAATTCCCTAGCTTGTACTACCCGTACTAAATTCTTAGCACTCCTCCCAGCGCGTAGACTGCTTCTCCTTCGACTTGAGGCAGTTGAAGCGTTTCATGCGTTTAAGCGGTCTACGCGGTTTAAGCATAATTCGGAACGCGCTCAGGTCAGAGAAGCACGGTAGCGTCGTCGAGGAAGCACGTGTCGTTGGTGTTTTGAAAAATGAATAACGAATTAATTGAATTTCCAGTATTAATAGAGGATAAAAATGAAATTTTAACGTTATTAGTTACTAAAGAAAAAATGGAGAAAGCACAAACAAGTAAAATTATAATGTATTTATTGTGAAATGCACCCTAAGTATCATTTTATCATTGAATTCACCTCATTATTCATTGAATGTTAAAATATCGAGCTATCACTTTCGTCGTTTTTGTTTAAAAGTATCATTGAAGTTACAATTGATACTGTTAAATGTTTATTGGCATTGTTCCGTTCGGTATTCATTTTTAACATTCATACCCGCACTATTATAGCCCACTCAGCGCATAGGTTGCTCAGAAAACCGTTCCGAAATTCTCAAGCGCTTCATGCGTATTATGCGCGCATTGAAAAAACGGAACGATTTCGAAGCGTACCGCATCAGTATTGCAGTCTACGCGCTTCAAGCGCAATTGGTGCGTT